CTCCTCTCCACTGCTGATCACCTCCACATTTGCATTCACTGACCTGCAGAGAATCAAACTCCTTTTAAGCCCCAAAACCCGCCTGGGCAGCCACAACTGATCACCTCTTTTAATTTTTAAGACAAGATCTTCATTCTCTCTCCCAGAGATCCCCTCAGATTTAACCCCTAAACTTTTCTCTTCCTGCACACCTCTGATTAACTCATTTTTACCTCCAAAGGTTCATTTTCTATCCTTGAGAGTTTCTCAAGTTTTACCCCCAAAGCTTTCCTTACCTGCCCAGGGCTGATGGCCTCACATTACCTCTCTCGGGTCGTTCCCTCCCCTACAAATAACATTCAGTTTTACCCCCACACTTTTCCTTCCTCTACATTTCCCATTTTAGCTTTGTTAACCCATAACTGGGGACACAGGGGGGTCCCTTTGATCTCAGGGCCTTGCTCCTGACCCTCTCCAGGGCGGAAGAGCTGCAAATCCCAAGGCAGAAGGAGGGTGATCTGTCAGCCAAAGGCAGACAAACGGCTTCAGAAAAGATTTCTGCAACCTAACTGAGAAGGATTTCCAATCTCCCGGGGAGAAGAGCAGGAACTCACAGCCAACAATACCTGACAGTGCCCTGCAGCCACAGCTCAGCTCACGGACAGACTGGCAATTCCACCATCTAAAAGGAAACAAGACCAAGGAAATGGTGATTTCTTTGGCTTTCAAGTTATTTTCAGTTCTTAAAACAGAAGCAACACTTGCTTTGGAATTGTGTTGGGTGAACAATTGGCAGTGGGCACACGCCAGGGCAATAGTGCTGCTTTCACTGATGCTCTCTGGGGCAGGAGCAGCTGAGCTCCTGAGTTCAGTTCCTGCCCAAGGTCTGACCCCAAAATGATCCCCTCCTCTCCACTGCTGATCACCTCCACATTTGCATTCACTGACCTGCAGAGAATCAAACTCCTTTTTAAGCCCCAAAACCCGCCTGGGCAGCCACAACTGATCACCTCTTTTAATTTTTAAGACAAGATCTTCATTCTCTCTCCCAGAGATCCCCTCAGATTTAACCCCTAAACTTTTCTCTTCCTGCACACCTCTGATTAACTCATTTTTACCTCCAAAGGTTCATTTTCTATCCTTGAGAGTTTCTCAAGTTTTACCCCCAAAGCTTTCCTTACCTGCCCAGGGCTGATGGCCTCACATTACCTCTCTCGGGTCGTTCCCTCCCCTACAAATAACATTCAGTTTTACCCCCACACTTTTCCTTCCTCTACATTTCCCATTTTAGCTTTGTTAACCCATAACTGGGGACACAGGGGGTCCCTTTGATCTCAGGGCCTTGCTCCTGACCCTCTCCAGGGCGGAAGAGCTGCAAATCCCAAGGCAGAAGGAGGGTGATCTGTCAGCCAAAGGCAGACAAACGGCTTCAGAAAAGATTTCTGCAACCTAACTGAGAAGGATTTCCAATCTCCCGGGGAGAAGAGCAGGAACTCACAGCCAACAATACCTGACAGTGCCCTGCAGCCACAGCTCAGCTCACGGACAGACTGGCAATTCCACCATCTAAAAGGAAACAAGACCAAGGAAATGGTGATTTCTTTGGCTTTCAAGTTATTTTCAGTTCTTAAAACAGAAGCAACACTTGCTTTGGAATTGTGTTGGGTGAACAATTGGCAGTGGGCACACGCCAGGGCAATAGTGCTGATTTCACTGATGCTCTCTGGGGCAGGAGCAGCTGAGCTCCTGAGTTCAGTTCCTGCCCAAGGTCTGACCCCAAAATGATCCCCTCCTCTCCACTGCTGATCACCTCCACATTTGCATTCACTGACCTGCAGAGAATCAAACTCCTTTTTAAGCCCCAAAACCCGCCTGGGCAGCCACAACTGATCACCTCTTTTAATTTTTAAGACAAGATCTTCATTCTCTCTCCCAGAGATCCCCTCAGATTTAACCCCTAAACTTTTCTCTTCCTGCACACCTCTGATTAACTCATTTTTACCTCCAAAGGTTCATTTTCTATCCTTGAGAGTTTCTCAAGTTTTACCCCCAAAGCTTTCCTTACCTGCCCAGGGCTGATGGCCTCACATTACCTCTCTCGGGTCGTTCCCTCCCCTACAAATAACATTCAGTTTTACCCCCACACTTTTCCTTCCTCTACATTTCCCATTTTAGCTTTGTTAACCCATAACTGGGGACACAGGGGGGTCCCTTTGATCTCAGGGCCTTGCTCCTGACCCTCTCCAGGGCGGAAGAGCTGCAAATCCCAAGGCAGAAGGAGGGTGATCTGTCAGCCAAAGGCAGACAAACGGCTTCAGAAAAGATTTCTGCAACCTAACTGAGAAGGATTTCCAATCTCCCGGGGAGAAGAGCAGGAACTCACAGCCAACAATACCTGACAGTGCCCTGCAGCCACAGCTCAGCTCACGGACAGACTGGCAATTCCACCATCTAAAAGGAAACAAGACCAAGGAAATGGTGATTTCTTTGGCTTTCAAGTTATTTTCAGTTCTTAAAACAGAAGCAACACTTGCTTTGGAATTGTGTTGGGTGAACAATTGGCAGTGGGCACACGCCAGGGCAATAGTGCTGCTTTCACTGATGCTCTCTGGGGCATCATGGCTGGAGCCTCTTCCCTGTGGCTGCACACACCCCAAAGATTTGGCAGAACTTCTCCCAGTTCAATGCTTTGTCCTGTCCTGAAAGAGAGCAGAGGGAAATTCAGTGCTCTGTGGAAGTCAAAGGCTCCTGGCTCTCACCCTGCTGTTCCCATGGCTCCCCAGAGGGTTCATCCCCAAACACGAGGGGTAGCAGTGCAATAGCCCAGCAGAGGCCCCCATTTCAGGGCACCATTTCCCCCGCAGGGAGTCCCACCCGCGGCGCCCCTCCCCACCCGGGCCGTGTCCCGCAGTACCTGCCCCGCAGTCTCCGCCTGGCGGACACGGCCGGTACTGCAGCCCCGACAGCGCCGCCGCCTGCAAAGGACCCCCCGCGCCCCCCGGGGCAGCTCCACAGCCCCCCCTGCCCTCTCTGCCGCACAGCCCCCGCCCCGGGACGCTCCTGAAACAGCAGGGACAGGGCTCAGCCTCGCTGCAGCCACGGGACAAAGCAGCAACCCAAAGGAGACCCCAAAATGATCCCCTCTTCTCTACTGCTGACAACCTCAATCTACCTCCAAAGACTCAGTCTCTACCCACCAGATCATCCCAAGTTTAATCCCCTAAATTTTCCATTCCTGTCCACCCCTGCTCACCTCAATATTTTGCATTCACTGCCCGGAGAGAATCAAACTCCATTTTAAGCGCCCAAAACTTCCTTACAAACCACACCCTTTCCGGCCCACACCTTCCTTGAATGGCCCCAGCCCCGCCCATACGTTCCTTTTATGGCGGTAGCCGCCCCACACCCCTCTTTTTCTGGTTATAGCCCGCCCCGCACCTTCCTTTTATGGCGGTAGCCGCGCCCCACACTTTCCTTTTATGGCGCTAGCCGCCCCACTTTCCTTTTATGGCGCTAGCCCGCCCCGCACTTTCCTTTTATGGCGCTAGCCCGCCCCTACTTTCCTTTTATGGCGCTAGCCGCCCCGCACTTTCCTTTTATGGCGCTAGCCCGCCCACACTTTCCTTTTATGGCGCTAGCCCGCCCGCACTTTCCTTTTATGGCGCTAGCCGCCCCGCACTTTCCTTTTATGGCGCTAGCCGCCCCACTTTCCTTTTATGGCGCTAGCCGCCCCACACTTTCCTTTTATGGCGCTAGCCCGCCCCGCACTTTCCTTTTATGGCGCTAGCCCCGCCCACACTTTCCTTTTATGGCGCTAGCCCGCCCGCACTTTCCTTTTATGGCGCTAGCCCGCCCCGCACTTTCCTTTTATGGCGCTAGCCGCCCGCACTTTCCTTTTATGGCGCTAGCCGCCCCACTTTCCTTTTATGGCGCTAGCCCGCCCACTTTCCTTTTATGGCGCTAGCCCGCCCGCACTTTCCTTTTATGGCGCTAGCCCCGCCCGCACTTTCCTTTTATGGCGCTAGCCCCGCCCCGACACTTTCCTTTTATGGCGCTAGCCCCGCCCCGCACCTTCCTTTTATGGCGCTAGCCCCGCCCCTCATGCGCTTTTTATGGCGGGCAGCCCCGCCCCACATGCGCCTTTTTCGGGCATATCCCCACCCTTCCTTTACCTTTTATGGCCATGGGCACGCCCCGACACTCCTTGTACGGACAAGTCCCTGCCCCTCGGCTCCTTTCATGGCGGCGCCCACCGCCCGTTCACCCCCCCCTCCTTCCAGGCAGGATCGGGCACTCCCGGGTTTTGTCGTGCAGAAAGCCCCGTTCTTTTTGGAACCTCTTGCTCCAGCCTTTTTCCCTGGGCGAAGAGGTGAATTAGTCTTTTGAAGGACCCGATGGCCAGAGGTGGGGGAAAAACTAGCAGCATTCCCTAAACACCTCCAGCACTTCCATATCCATCTGCGACCAGGGCTAACCTGGGCTAGGGGAAGGTGTCCCTGCTCAGGCAGTGGGGCTGCATGAGCTTTAAGGTCCCTTGCAACCCGAACCACTGCAGGATTCCATCACCATTCCACCATTTCTCCCTGCATTTGTTGTGCATCGCTTCCTCTCTGATTCAAATTCTCCAGTTTGGTCGGTCTCTTAAAGGAATAATTTTAAGGTTATTCCGGGAATAAAAAAAGGGGAGTGGAAAACACACACGAATCATTCCTGCACCCATCAAATCCTTATTCATTAGGAGCACATGCCCTCATCTCTGTCCTTGTTTTTCTTTTTCTCCTGGGAAACCTTATGGTCATAGATTTTTCCAAGAGAGACCTGGGATTACCACGTTTGCTCTGTAAGAGGCAGGAGAGGTTCAGAATACCTGTTCCTCTGCATTTTGCCAGTGGGATTTTCCCACTTTTCAGAGATCATTTTTGTAGCTGCCCAAGGAAATTTCTGGAGCTGACCCACGACTGAGTACAGAGTGCAGCACAAAGGAACAACCAATCTCCCTCCAAAATATTTCCTGTCCTCTACAGACAGCCTCAAGACTTATGTCCAATATTTTCCCCACCTGTCCACTACTGATTCCCTCATTTTAACCCCAAAATGTTCATTCTGTCCCCTACATACTAACACAGATATGACCCCAGTGTCCATTCTGTCCCCTGTAGGTCTCTGGGGACAAAAGGGGGGGTCCCTTTGATCTCAGGGCCTTGCTCCTGACCCTCTCCAGGGCGGAAGAGCTGCAAATCCCAAGGCAGAAGGAGGGTGATCTGTCAGCCAAAGGCAGACAAACGGCTTCAGAAAAGATTTCTGCAACCTAACTGAGAAGGATTTCCAATCTCCCGGGGAGAAGAGCAGGAACTCACAGCCAACAATACCTGACAGTGCCCTGCAGCCACAGCTCAGCTCACGGACAGACTGGCAATTCCACCATCTAAAAGGAAACAAGACCAAGGAAATGGTGATTTCTTTGGCTTTCAAGTTATTTTCAGTTCTTAAAACAGAAGCAACACTTGCTTTGGAATTGTGTTGGGTGAACAATTGGCAGTGGGCACACGCCAGGGCAATAGTGCTGCTTTCACTGATGCTCTCTGGGGCAGGAGCAGCTGAGCTCCTGAGTTCAGTTCCTGCCCAAGGTCTGACCCCAAAATGATCCCCTCCTCTCCACTGCTGATCACCTCCACATTTGCATTCACTGACCTGCAGAGAATCAAACTCCTTTTTAAGCCCCAAAACCCGCCTGGGCAGCCACAACTGATCACCTCTTTTAATTTTTAAGACAAGATCTTCATTCTCTCTCCCAGAGATCCCCTCAGATTTAACCCCTAAACTTTTCTCTTCCTGCACACCTCTGATTAACTCATTTTTACCTCCAAAGGTTCATTTTCTATCCTTGAGAGTTTCTCAAGTTTTACCCCCAAAGCTTTCCTTACCTGCCCAGGGCTGATGGCCTCACATTACCTCTCTCGGGTCGTTCCCTCCCCTACAAATAACATTCAGTTTTACCCCCACACTTTTCCTTCCTCTACATTTCCCATTTTAGCTTTGTTAACCCATAACTGGGGACACAGGGGGGTCCCTTTGATCTCAGGGCCTTGCTCCTGACCCTCTCCAGGGCGGAAGAGCTGCAAATCCCAAGGCAGAAGGAGGGTGATCTGTCAGCCAAAGGCAGACAAACGGCTTCAGAAAAGATTTCTGCAACCTAACTGAGAAGGATTTCCAATCTCCCGGGGAGAAGAGCAGGAACTCACAGCCAACAATACCTGACAGTGCCCTGCAGCCACAGCTCAGCTCACGGACAGACTGGCAATTCCACCATCTAAAAGGAAACAAGACCAAGGAAATGGTGATTTCTTTGGCTTTCAAGTTATTTTCAGTTCTTAAAACAGAAGCAACACTTGCTTTGGAATTGTGTTGGGTGAACAATTGGCAGTGGGCACACGCCAGGGCAATAGTGCTGATTTCACTGATGCTCTCTGGGGCAGGAGCAGCTGAGCTCCTGAGTTCAGTTCCTGCCCAAGGTCTGACCCCAAAATGATCCCCTCCTCTCCACTGCTGATCACCTCCACATTTGCATTCACTGACCTGCAGAGAATCAAACTCCTTTTTAAGCCCCAAAACCCGCCTGGGCAGCCACAACTGATCACCTCTTTTAATTTTTAAGACAAGATCTTCATTCTCTCTCCCAGAGATCCCCTCAGATTTAACCCCTAAACTTTTCTCTTCCTGCACACCTCTGATTAACTCATTTTTACCTCCAAAGGTTCATTTTCTATCCTTGAGAGTTTCTCAAGTTTTACCCCCAAAGCTTTCCTTACCTGCCCAGGGCTGATGGCCTCACATTACCTCTCTCGGGTCGTTCCCTCCCCTACAAATAACATTCAGTTTTACCCCCACACTTTTCCTTCCTCTACATTTCCCATTTTAGCTTTGTTAACCCATAACTGGGGACACAGGGGGGTCCCTTTGATCTCAGGGCCTTGCTCCTGACCCTCTCCAGGGCGGAAGAGCTGCAAATCCCAAGGCAGAAGGAGGGTGATCTGTCAGCCAAAGGCAGACAAACGGCTTCAGAAAAGATTTCTGCAACCTAACTGAGAAGGATTTCCAATCTCCCGGGGAGAAGAGCAGGAACTCACAGCCAACAATACCTGACAGTGCCCTGCAGCCACAGCTCAGCTCACGGACAGACTGGCAATTCCACCATCTAAAAGGAAACAAGACCAAGGAAATGGTGATTTCTTTGGCTTTCAAGTTATTTTCAGTTCTTAAAACAGAAGCAACACTTGCTTTGGAATTGTGTTGGGTGAACAATTGGCAGTGGGCACACGCCAGGGCAATAGTGCTGCTTTCACTGATGCTCTCTGGGGCAGGAGCAGCTGAGCTCCTGAGTTCAGTTCCTGCCCAAGGTCTGACCCCAAAATGATCCCCTCCTCTCCACTGCTGATCACCTCCACATTTGCATTCACTGACCTGCAGAGAATCAAACTCCTTTTTAAGCCCCAAAACCCGCCTGGGCAGCCACAACTGATCACCTCTTTTAATTTTTAAGACAAGATCTTCATTCTCTCTCCCAGAGATCCCCTCAGATTTAACCCCTAAACTTTTCTCTTCCTGCACACCTCTGATTAACTCATTTTTACCTCCAAAGGTTCATTTTCTATCCTTGAGAGTTTCTCAAGTTTTACCCCCAAAGCTTTCCTTACCTGCCCAGGGCTGATGGCCTCACATTACCTCTCTCGGGTCGTTCCCTCCCCTACAAATAACATTCAGTTTTACCCCCACACTTTTCCTTCCTCTACATTTCCCATTTTAGCTTTGTTAACCCATAACTGGGGACACAGGGGGTCCCTTTGATCTCAGGGCCTTGCTCCTGACCCTCTCCAGGGCGGAAGAGCTGCAAATCCCAAGGCAGAAGGAGGGTGATCTGTCAGCCAAAGGCAGACAAACGGCTTCAGAAAAGATTTCTGCAACCTAACTGAGAAGGATTTCCAATCTCCCGGGGAGAAGAGCAGGAACTCACAGCCAACAATACCTGACAGTGCCCTGCAGCCACAGCTCAGCTCACGGACAGACTGGCAATTCCACCATCTAAAAGGAAACAAGACCAAGGAAATGGTGATTTCTTTGGCTTTCAAGTTATTTTCAGTTCTTAAAACAGAAGCAACACTTGCTTTGGAATTGTGTTGGGTGAACAATTGGCAGTGGGCACACGCCAGGGCAATAGTGCTGCTTTCACTGATGCTCTCTGGGGCAGGAGCAGCTGAGCTCCTGAGTTCAGTTCCTGCCCAAGGTCTGACCCCAAAATGATCCCCTCCTCTCCACTGCTGATCACCTCCACATTTGCATTCACTGACCTGCAGAGAATCAAACTCCTTTTTAAGCCCCAAAACCCGCCTGGGCAGCCACAACTGATCACCTCTTTTAATTTTTAAGACAAGATCTTCATTCTCTCTCCCAGAGATCCCCTCAGATTTAACCCCTAAACTTTTCTCTTCCTGCACACCTCTGATTAACTCATTTTTACCTCCAAAGGTTCATTTTCTATCCTTGAGAGTTTCTCAAGTTTTACCCCCAAAGCTTTCCTTACCTGCCCAGGGCTGATGGCCTCACATTACCTCTCTCGGGTCGTTCCCTCCCCTACAAATAACATTCAGTTTTACCCCCACACTTTTCCTTCCTCTACATTTCCCATTTTAGCTTTGTTAACCCATAACTGGGGACACAGGGGGGTCCCTTTGATCTCAGGGCCTTGCTCCTGACCCTCTCCAGGGCGGAAGAGCTGCAAATCCCAAGGCAGAAGGAGGGTGATCTGTCAGCCAAAGGCAGACAAACGGCTTCAGAAAAGATTTCTGCAACCTAACTGAGAAGGATTTCCAATCTCCCGGGGAGAAGAGCAGGAACTCACAGCCAACAATACCTGACAGTGCCCTGCAGCCACAGCTCAGCTCACGGACAGACTGGCAATTCCACCATCTAAAAGGAAACAAGACCAAGGAAATGGTGATTTCTTTGGCTTTCAAGTTATTTTCAGTTCTTAAAACAGAAGCAACCCTTGCTTTGGAATTGTGTTGGGTGAACAATTGGCAGTGGGCACACGCCAGGGCAATAGTGCTGCTTTCACTGATGCTCTCTGGGGCAGGAGCAGCTGAGCTCCTGAGTTCAGTTCCTGCCCAAGGTCTGACCCCAAAATGATCCCCTCCTCTCCACTGCTGATCACCTCCACATTTGCATTCACTGACCTGCAGAGAATCAAACTCCTTTTTAAGCCCCAAAACCCGCCTGGGCAGCCACAACTGATCACCTCTTTTAATTTTTAAGACAAGATCTTCATTCTCTCTCCCAGAGATCCCCTCAGATTTAACCCCTAAACTTTTCTCTTCCTGCACACCTCTGATTAACTCATTTTTACCTCCAAAGGTTCATTTTCTATCCTTGAGAGTTTCTCAAGTTTTACCCCCAAAGCTTTCCTTACCTGCCCAGGGCTGATGGCCTCACATTACCTCTCTCGGGTCGTTCCCTCCCCTACAAATAACATTCAGTTTTACCCCCACACTTTTCCTTCCTCTACATTTCCCATTTTAGCTTTGTTAACCCATAACTGGGGACACAGGGGGGTCCCTTTGATCTCAGGGCCTTGCTCCTGACCCTCTCCAGGGCGGAAGAGCTGCAAATCCCAAGGCAGAAAGAGGGTGATCTGTCAGTCAGGCAGACAAACGGCTTCAGAAAAGATTTCTGCAACCTAACTGAGAAGGATTTCCAATCTCCCGGGGAGAAGAGCAGGAACTCACAGCCAACAATACCTGACAGTGCCCTGCAGCCACAGCTCAGCTCACGGACAGACTGGCAATTCCACCATCTAAAAGGAAACAAGACCAAGGAAATGGTGATTTCTTTGGCTTTCAAGTTATTTTCAGTTCTTAAAACAGAAGCAACACTTGCTTTGGAATTGTGTTGGGTGAACAATTGGCAGTGGGCACACGCCAGGGCAATAGTGCTGATTTCACTGATGCTCTCTGGGGCATCAAGGCTGGAACCTCTTGCCTGTGGCTGCTCACACCCCAAAGATTTGGCAGAACTTCTCCCAGTTCAATGCTTTGTCCTGTCCTGAAAGAGAGCAGAGGGAAATTCAGTGCTCTGTGGAAGTCAAAGGCTCCTGGCTCTCACCCTGCTGTTCCCATGGCTCCCCAGAGGGTTCATCCCCAAACACGAGGGGTGGCAGTGCAATAGCCCGCAGAGGGGGGTCCCACCTTTTTTGCTGTCCTTGCACCTTTTTAGGCTGACCATCAGTTGAAGAGGCCTCCGCTCCAGCACCCACAAGGGCCTGAGCCCTTTGACAAGATCCATTTTTCCAAGGAATTCAAAGCTCCACCTGAGGGCCATGGGCTTTTCTCACCCACCCTTGTGCTGGAGCTTGGCCTTCATCTCACTCTGCCTTCGCTTCTTTCAGTCGCTGCACCATTTCCTGCCCTGCCTTGGCTGGAGCTCGGCATCCTGATCCCATCCCTGCCGGCCCCCGGAACCGCTGACTCAGCAATGGGGGGCCCTCCATTGCCAAGTGCACGGTCCCGTCGGGGCTCACGGCGGGAGCAGGAGGTCAAAGGGCTCCAGTCCTCCTGGGACAACCTTCCACCACTACAGCCAACAAAGGAGCCTCTCCAGCCCTGCCTCCGAAGTCATCCTGAACAAACCCAGCCCAACTCCACGGGACAAACTGCTCCCTGTCTGCCCAGTCCAATCTGATCCCAGAGGCTCCCAGGTCATGCAGCCCAACTGCCCAGGAGATCACAGACTCTCTGGCCTTTGCTTTTAAACCTGTCCATAACACCAGCAAGTTCAGGCTGAGTAAAATCCTCCACCACATCAGGCCTGATGGGATAACCATCGGGGTCACCTTCCACTTTCCCTCCTGCTATTGGCTGTGCTTCAGCAAACACTTCAACCTCTGAACCATGCTCAAAAGCAGCTAAATCCCGGCTCTGCTCTTCTCAGCTGCATGCTGCTGTCAAGAATAACAGGCATACCTTTTGCTCAGTCAGGAGCACCACCAACGAAGACGTAGACCCCTGGAGAGTCTCCCTGGAAAACCTGATTAATTCCAATTCAGCAGCAGATCACTGAAAACCCTGCCCTGTGAGTGGAGTATCTTCGCACTGTAGAAGGACTCCAATTACATTGGTGTCTGGTTGCATGCCTCCCGAAAGCCTTCTGTATTGTGCAGACAAATCTTTAAAAAAATTACTGGGTAGATTCTTGTGTAGAATAATTTACTACAATGCCTTGTTTCAAAATATCTTATTCAGCGAAAGCAATTTTTAACAGGGAAAAGAGAAGAAAAAGCCTTTTGAAGCTGAAAGTTCCACCTCCATGGGGAGAGAGATAAGATCTAAGAGATAAAACAAAGGGTTACCTGGTTACCGGGCAGGAGCTGCTTCGCTCCAGCCACACAGCCATTCAAATGTAAACTATTACTTAGTAACTGGGTGGAAGAAATCGAAACTTTTCTACTTTTCATAACAATAAGAAAGAACAAGCAACAAACAAGCCACGTAGCCCGAAGCCGTGAGTGACAGTCGTCTTCTGTTCTGGACCCCTCTGATGAGTCTGATTTTGCCAAACTAGGCAAACACATATCCTCCACAAAACATTAAATCCACTTGAGAAAAATTGTAATAAACAAGATCTCCTTGAAACGCTTTTCCCTGTAAAACCTGTCTTTAACTGTGTGTTTATAAACTGTTGATAAGAAAAGGAGATTTCAAAAATGCCTTTTTAATATGTCTTAAAAGTTTCTAACTCCCTTGTGTTATTTTTTTAGGTTAAAGATTTCTAATGTTGAACTTAACATCATGTCTGTAGTCTCGAGAATCTTCAGTAAAGAATACTAGAAGCTTTGAAGATTTTGTCCTATTTTTTCACCAATTCCCCCGTAGCTTTGTTTGAATTGCTAAAGCTGAAAGTCGCTAAACGTTGTTTAAAGGTGTTAAATTCTTAAAGTCATCTGCTTAAGTTTCATTGTTATTACACTGCAAAGAATCATCAGGCCTTCAGCTTCGAGAAAAACTGCAAAATTATCTGATTCTAAGATCTGTTTCTGCCATTATAACCACTTAAAACTGACTAAACTATTAATAACAAATTTACAAGCTTTTTATTAAAGGTAAAAAACAACTAGAAGAAGCAGATAGACAAGAGCAAAGAACTAACTATATCCCAGACATCAGAGACAACTTGGACTGACTTGTCTCAGAGGACACTGGATTTCAAGCTGTGTTAGCAAATTGTGATAGTGACTTATCTGTTCATTTTCTAAGTACGGACTAGTGACAAAAATGGAGAAGTTGCCCTTGATAATCATGCATTACTACCACTCACAAAGCACTCATATAAATTAAAATATTTGTTTCACTATCCCGCAAGGTAGGAATTCTTAAAACCTGTAAGAGCAAGTGATGATGGAATTTGCTATTTTTCAGAAGCTAAAACAATTCCTACAGGTTGGAATACATTTAATACTGCAGATATACAGCAAAAATCTTAGCAAGAAGTGATATGAATCTCTTCAACAGAATAATTTGTGACATACTACATGTGTTCTAATAACTGTTTTGTTTTCCTTTAGTTACTGCTGCTGTGAAACTTCTCTTGATATGTCTACTGCAGATTTTCAAAGATTCTTATTCAGTAATGACACTGTTGAGTAGACAGTCCCATGGTAACATATTGTACAGGCTAATTTAATCCATATTTGATGCAATATCCTTTCGGTTTCTATCATGATGTAAATTATCAGTAACTTAATTCAAGAAATGAAATACCATTTGTACTAATTTACAGCTCTTAGAGCGTGTTGCTAAATCACTGACAAAAATACAGAATTAGGTGATGTGAAAACGTGATACAGTGATGTTCAGCTACAAACAGAACCTTTGATTTACTTACCTTTTGTTTTTAGCCTACAGGGACCCACCATGGGACTGGTGGTTGGGTGCAGTTCACCCTCTGTGTAGAGGGACAGAAAATCCCAGCCTGGATAAAATGGATTCTAAAACCCACCTGTTAAATCAACAGCTTTTCTTGCCTGATTCCCCCCTCTCCAAAGAGCTTCCACCGAGCAATCACCAGAAGACCCAAATCCCAGCATTCGGGGCGCTTGGAATGTCGCTGGGAAACACCTCGTTCAAGCGGACACGTGCCTGCGAGTGATTCAGCCCCGAAACCTGCTCCGTAAGCAGGGGACAAAATCTGCCTCCCTCTTTGGTTTCCCAAGCGCTCCAGCAGCAGCAGGAGGCTGCCTTTGCCCATCCCAGCCGCCCCGCGCTGTCCCGAGCTCAGCTCACCCGTCCAGAAGCCGCAGGACGGGTCATTCCACGAGGAACGGGGAGCTCCCCACGAGCCGCCGCACGGAACGGGCACCGAGCGCTCCCCAGCGAGCTCTGCCACTCCCGGGAGCCGAGCCGAGCCCCGAGCCGCCACCGCAGCCCCCCAGCCCCTCCCGCAGGACCCCGCACAGCTCCGGGTACAGCCGGTCCCACGGCGTCCTCTGAGACCACCGGGAGCGAGCGGAGGGAAAATGGCGGGGAAAGGATGGGGAAGGGAGGGGCAGGGGGAGTGGGGAGGCGGGAGGGTGGGGGCGGGGAAAACCCGGACTGGGAACAGGGGGCCATCACCCCAGCCCCACAGCCCATCCTCCCCCACCCCCGACCCGTACACTGGACACAAAATAGACAGGAAAGAAAGAAAAAACAGGGATAAGACACAGAAGAAAACTTGAAAATGTGAAGAGGAGCAGGACAGTCAGCAGAGAACGAAAACCAGGGGCAGTACAGCACTGCCATATGGAGAAATATTCTAAAGCCAAAGGAGTAAGAGAGCAACAGAGACAGTGCTTGCAACACAGCAAGCACTAAATCTGCATTGCTATTACTAAGACAACTAATATTTATGGTCGTCTCATCTCTGTGGGCAAATATCCAGAGCCAGTGACATCTGTAGCCACCAACCAGCCTCTCTTTAAGGGAAGTGGTACCTGCTGAGAGAAGTGTTTGTGACAACTGGTAATACCATTCCTGCAGTTACTAACACCTCCCCAAATGCCTTCTCCTCTGTCCAGCTATTCCCACTCTGAAAAAGGATCAGAAAATGTCTCACAGAGTTAACAAAACAAGGATAAAACACTGCAGCTGAGAGAATACTTTTTATTATGTAAAACAGATTGGGTTTTTTAGGCTATTAGTCACATGCTGAGCATCTGTAGTCCAAGACACTTAACCACTTGGCACATCAAGCAAATTCCCATTGCAAGGCCTGCACATCGCATACCTAATGCCCAAACTTTAAGTCTTCCAGGCACAATTTCCAGCTCCCTTCACCCAGTAGTACCCACAATGCCACCAAGTCTGTCTGATTACTAACTAGGGCACAACCACCTTCTACCCAGACAGCCTCCCTCAACTACAGTGCAGTGCCAGGACTTTGCTGTGGGTACGTTGTGAGTCGGAGCTCGTTCTTCGCGTCTGTCTGCTGATCCTACAGACCTGTGATGCTGCTTCAACCGCCAAACTATGCTTCAGCACCTGCAAAAGGCCAGAACAATTGTTACCAAGACAGTGAGAAACTGCAAAGCCCTTCCAGAACTATCCCAAATCCAAGGCCCATAATTGCTCCCACAATTACAACTGACCCACTGTGCTGCTTCAGCCATGATTTCAGGCTCTGTTTCATCACTAAGATGCCACAGCAGTCCTCACAGATGGTAGACTTGTTCAGGCATCCAGTTAATGTCAGCTTATGTCAGATGGCACTCCTCAAGGTAACTGCAGCACAGACACTGCTGGAAGTCTGTCTTACTCAGCATAAAACTATACACAGGTCAAACAGAAAGGAGAAATATACACTCCCCACTGACTTAACCATCCTCTCATTCACCACAGACGGAAGGAAAGCGAAGATTTCAGATTCCAAAGTGACCACCCAACACTGGGTTTGACAGCACTACACATTCAGTGAGATTTCACCAGAAATACTCTTCTCATTCACCCAGACATCAAGGAAGCCAGATAGTCCTGTGCCACCTCTCCATCTTGCCATCTTCTACACACAACCTACACTTCTTCACTTAGCACAGCCCTAGTCCTTCTCCCATAGAAAACTCAAGCACACAACACTGACAGCACTTAATGTTTTAGGTCATCTTCAAACTGCTCAGAAAGCAGTGTTCAGCAAAGACAAGGAAAAAACCCACGGCCTTTAAAAACTCTAAACACTGGAGAGACTCAGGTAGCGGGAAAGAGCCTTACCATCCACTCCAGGCCTGAGTGTGGCTGGGCTGAGAACCTCAACTTGCTGCAAGGAAGTGTTGCCCCCAGCAGACCAGTGGCGTCCCCCAGCCCATGACCACTGAAGGGTCTTGAACACACCACGGAGTGTCCCTGGAGGCCTGAATGCCACCGTTATGCTGGTCGCAAGCACCCTGCCTGCACTGGCTGCTACGTTGTGGGTGGGGGTAAGGTAGAGGCGGCAAGAGCACAGTATCACACCGCTCCCGTTCTCTGCCCCTCACCTCCGGCGCTCACAGATTGGTCCTGCACCAGGCTTAACCTCTGCAGCGTGCCCCCCGGTGCTCCAAACATGCTCAGCACCGGGTTGGGACCTGTGGTAAGAGGCTGTGGGGCGACGGCAGCACTGCACATGTGCGAGATCTGCAGGCAGCAGCGTGCCTCAGCATCTCGACGTGAGCAGAAGCGATTGATGGCGGAGAAGGGACAATCAGCAGGACAGAGCCACTGGGACAGGGAGTGAAGGGCGGTGTGCAAGCTGGACAGATGGCTAGAGTTGGTGGGAAGGATGGTCAGGCAGAGGAATAGAAAAAGAGAGGCAGGGTTCTGCACAAAGAATGGTGAAAGAACTTCTGCAGTTGCAGAATACATATTGAGTTCAGCCAAGTGAGCAATAAGCACCGAAGTGCTCAAGGCTAGCAGGCACTCACCAGTGTCTCTCAGCTCCTCTGCCACTGTGACAGTAATTTGTGATTAGTTGCTTGCTGACTGACATAGTAAAAGGCATCATCCTATCAAAGCATAAAGCAATGCAAAATTTGAAAACCCTACAGAAAAACTCAAGAAAACAAATTTAGTATACAAACCTACAGACTAATCTAATATACACTAACACAGTAAAGGAGAACACACAAGCCACAAACACTGCCCCTCCACTCCTATTTTGAACATTACCACAACATTTGGGTTTTCTGCAAGTTTAACCTTTCAGGAACTTCCTGTATCTACTCTTTTGTCATAACCATACCACACTCCTCTTTTAATTCAGGCATGCACAAACAGATCCACTTCTTCAAACCTGCCCTGTTCCCTCCTGCTCATTGTCTCAGATCAGACCACATTGCTGAATGCTGGCTGGCACCAGGGGAAACAAATGAACTCCCCCAAATGATTCACAGCCTACTGTTTATGGGTTCGGGGCTTACAAATTTATCATCTAAGGATTTGGACCTTTTCCGTTAACAGTAAGCTGTAAAGTCTGAACTTTCAGTGTTAAACTACATATCTTGGAACACATATGATTGTTGGTGCTTTACAACTTCTGGATGAGGTTAGATTTTAAAACCCATGCCCTGAGCAGTCAGTAAGTAAAGTATAGACCCTGAATGACAGATATGGAGTCCCACAGTCATAAACCATAACCCTTGAGTGAGAAACTGTAAACAACTCTGAACAGTTGACAGAACATGAGTGACTGAACTCCCAGTTTAAAGCAATGTACGCCACAGCACATAAAAGCAGGAAAACGGTAAAAGAAGCTGAGGAATTTTTGTTTACAGCTTTTAAAGTTTCCGTTTCCTTTGGAAGTGTAGCAGAACAGGAGCATACATACCAGGAATGTGTTGCAGAGATGCTGTATAGGTCTGATTTTAGCCACGATATGCAAGAGTCAATCCAGAGGATTGTGTAAGCTGCACTTCTAATGAATCTACCAGTATCACCACAAGCACTAACTCTTCATTACAGACAATTAAGAGTATTTTTGATCTCATCAGCTCCATGGTCCAATATCCACAGCAGTGCTACTGAAAACCACCAGGCAATTTTAAGCTGTCTTGTCACTTACCAGCACTCACAGGTAGGGACCACTCAGTCACCAGAGTCCCACACTGACATCCTGCTCCAGGGCCTGCCTTCCACCACACACCTCCCGGCTGTTCATGTCCTCAGGGCCAACTGCACAGACTGGCTGGGGCTGGGAGGAACCAGGGCCCTAAAATCAGGACAAGGGATGGGAAAGTCAGACCTGTGCTCTCAGCTTCCTGCAGTGAGCGGGCTGGGCCAAGAACCCCCCTCGAGCCTGCACCTCCACTTCCAAGCAGCCACTGTGGGCAGGAATAACTGCTGAAGGCCTTGCTCACCTGACTGGTGCCTCTGACCCTCACCTGCTCTTTCTACAGGGAAAGAGGCCCTGCCCTTTGCCATGCTGCTCTCAGGCACTGCACATGCACTGGTCACTGTCACAACTCATCAGTAGGGGCCATGATGGTTGTTATAAATTCTCATCAGGTTGAACAAAGATACCTGCATGTCAGGGAACTCTTATGCTTTTATTGTACAGCCACCATAAACTCCACCAACCAGCCCACTGCTTAGACTCAAGAGGTGTTGGCTAACAAGCCCTTAAATTTGTACGGTACACTTCAATAAGTTCTCAACTCCCACAGCAAACTCCTCAAAGGTGCTGGCTCACAAGCCATAACACAAAATCAAAGGTGCTGGCACACAGACCACAATACCACTACGCAAGGTTGCTGGTTAGCAAGCCACAACACACTTCCACAACAGAGTTCAGGACACAGTACAGAGCAGAGTATGATAGCCATGCTTTGCTCAGGCAAAGCAAGGGTAGAAAACAAAGAATATTACCAGTCCTCAGATACTGTGTTGGTCCTGCCACGAGGATGATCCGGAGCTGGGGTTGTGAGACAAAGAAAGTGAAGGAAATAGGGTGGTGGCAGGGGAGAGAGAGAAAGAAAAGGACTGAGGGGGCCTGATCTGCTCCCTGTTATAACCTGGTGCACACCTCTTATATAAAACTAGATTTTTCGAGCTGTTTTGTTCGCACACGCACAGCCCCTTTGAGCCTCCTCCAGGCAGTAAGTCGGCATGAGGGCACTGAGCACAAGTCCCATGATGGAGCAGGGAGCTGGCTCAGAACACACTGCGCCATCTCCATGGGACCCTCTCCTCCAATCACCTTTCCTGTAGCAATACTCAGAATGTTTGAGACAAAACATGCTTAGGTCTGGTGCTCCGCAGCCACAAATCAAGGAGGAGACCATGCTCCTGGGCATCGTGAGGTAAACTGAGACCTCAGACCTTTTTTTTTTTATCGTGTCATACAAAATTTCTTGAGGATTAAGGCAGTCTCCTCCGTTTCCTACTTGTCAGTCTGAATACAGCACATGCAACT